GACACACGTCCCCAGCCGCTCTCTCTCCTGCTCGGACTGCCGCTTGAGAAACCATCCCCGCCCCGTCTTTAGCCTCCTGGAAAGTTCCCGCTGGCCCGGCCTCCAGCCCTCTCCCACTATCACCGCTCAGCGCACAGCCGGGCCCCTCCAGGAGTCGGACGCGGGAGCCAGCACTGCTCTGGACAGGCAGGGTCAGGCTCCGTCGGGGCCACGAGCAGAGGCCAGGACACAATCCCCTGGCAGGGTGTGTGCAACACCCCAGTGGGGTGAGGGAGGCAGATTCCATCAGACTCTTCCCACGGGCGGGGGGGACGACCGGATGGGACATTTCTTCCTTCCACTCAGTGAATTCCTAGCACATTCGCACCTCCCCCGCTCCGGGCACCCTGGGACTCCCAGGGCCACGGCTCTCTGGCCCCGGGGGCGGGTGGTGACAGATGTTGGCCAGTAAGGCAGGACAGGCAGCAGCTGCTCTGGGTTTCTCGTCAGACTCTTCCCACGGGCGGGGGGGACGACCGGATGGGACATTTCTTCCTTCCACTCAGTGAATTCCTAGCACATTCGCACCTCCCCCGCTCCGGGCACCCTGGGACTCCCAGGGCCACGGCTCTCTGGCCCCGGGGGCGGGTGGTGACAGATGTTGGCCAGTAAGGCAGGACAGGCAGCAGCTGCTCTGGGTTTCTCGCGCGGCTTGGTCCAGGAACACCGCTCCGAACAGGCCCTTGGTTTATCGGGGGCGGGCGCTGCCAGGCTGCCTACCTTGTTCAGCCTCTGGATCTCCCTCTCCTGGTACTCCCTTTGCTTGGTGACCGGTGCCAGCTGCTCCTGCAGGAACCGGACCCTCTGCTTCAGCTCCTGCAGTTCCCCAGCCAGCCTCTCCTTGTCTGCCTGAAAGCGCAAGAGGCAGCGTGGTCAGCGGAGGGCGCAGCCCCACGTTACCCACCGCCCAGCCTGGGGTTCCTCCCTGGGCGTGACGGGGGGAGAAGCCAGGAGGCAGAGCGGGGTGAGAGAGAGGGAAGGCCTGGCCCTCAGCGGAGGAGCAGAGAGCAGCGTCTGGGCTCTGGTTGGGAAGGGCCTTGCGGGCGCGGTGCCTCTCGCCCGGGAGCACACGGTGGTGGCTCAGCCGCAGGGAGTCCAGGCAGATCTGGGTCCGCCCGCAGCTCGCACTGGCCCCCCAAGGAGGGCTCAGCAGATTAGTGAGCCTGCTCCCCTCCACACTGCTCCCGGAGCCTGACCTTCCCCCCCATCCCCAGTCTGAAAGCAGCCAGACGGGCCTGCTCCTGCTTTTCCAGGCTCCGTGGTGGGCCCCGGTTCTGGTGCTGCAGGGCAAGCTCCTGGATAGCGGGGAGGGGGAGGATACAGGCACACCTCCCCACACGCACTCACCTCCTCCACTTCGATCTTGGATTTGGCCAGGAGCAGCTTGCGATCAAAGTCCCTTTGCTTCTGCTCCCGTTCCGCCTCCTGCTCGCTTAGCGCCCGCTGCGAGTCCGCCAGCTTCTGGCGCAGATCTGTGATCTGCCGGACACAGGGCGGCCACGTGACTGTCTGGAAGGCAGCGCCAGCCGCAGACAGCGGTGCCCTGCAGCTGTGCCACCCCCAGCCCCATTTGCCCACGCACGCCCACCCGCATTTTAGCTGAAAACTTCCCCCTGCCCCCGCCCTGCCGGAAACAGGAGGTTCCAAGGGAGAGAGAAGGGCTCCGATACCATGGGGATGAGAACGGCACAGAGGCCTAGGCTGCCAAGGCTGGGGGGAAACCGACGGTTCCCGGGGTTCAGGGAAAGATGGGAGCGTTTCTGGCTGGGAAAGGAGGTGCACTGGGGATAACCCACAGCCCCACCCCCCCAATCCCTTCCAAGATGTCCCAGAGAGCTGCCCAGTCCCCGCTAGCAGGGGACCAGTTTGCCCAGACTGGCGCGGGTGTAGCGCACACAGCCCCTGCCCACCAGCAAACCGCATGGCAGGCGCGGATGCCGACGTACCTTCTGCTCGTACTGCTGCTTCATGGTCCTGAAGTGCTGATCCCACTGCTTGTTCACCTCCAGCAGCTGGGGGAGAGAGAGAGTTAAGGGGGCACAGACGCCCACCCAACGTCGGACGCCCACCCGTCTCCTACCCCGGTATCCTCTCTCTCTGGCTGGTGCTCCGTGGGGGG